AGAGAGAGAGAGAGAGACGGGCATGTGTGTGTGTGTGTGTGTGTGTGTGAGAGAGAGAGAGAGAGAGAGAGAGAGAGAGAGAGAGAGAGAGAGAGAGAGACGGGCATGCCAGGCTTCATCAACTACCTCCCTGAGGCCCTCTTATTGACAGCGGCCACGTCAGCAGACCGGCTGGTCTGCATACTTGCCTGTGATGCATATACTTTGATGGCTCCCGGCATTCAGCGGTTGCGACGCATGCATCTTACGGGCCACACAGAGAGAGAGAGAGAGAGAGAGAGAGAGAGAGAGAGAGAGAGAGAGAGAGAGAGAGAGAGAGAGAGAGAAAGATGCAGCCTCTCTAACGAATGAGGAAGCCCGAAGACGCGGACGAGGAACATCAGCGCCTTCATCTTTTTCTTCTTTGTGTTAGTCTTCTTCTTCGTGTTCTCTTTCCAACCGCCGTTCTTCGTGTCGCCCTCCTCTGTTCATCTTCTTGTGTTGTTGCTATGCTTTCCTTCTGCATACCATATTCGAGTTCTTGTCTTCTTTATGTACTCTTGTTTTCGTTTATATTTCCATTTACGGAAATCATCTCTTGCATTTTTTTTTTTTTTTTTTTTTTTTTCCCCGCTGCCTTGATCAACTGCTAGAGGTGGTGGGCACCTGTGAACGGGGTTGATAAAAACATCCCCCGTTTTTATATGTCCTTTGTATTGCTGTGGAGTTGTGCCTGCGATGCGCTAGTGGCGAACCTGCCAGAGAGATGGCCCCTGACCATCCGCTGCACGTGTGTGTGTGCATATTTGATGGCCGCGTTGTCTTCGTGGGGACCTGCACCGCTTCGTACGTGGTCCAGCGTTACCTTTCTTTCACCTTGACCTTGTAGGGACCCTTTTTTGGGGTCAGCTCCAAGCAGTGTTTACCTAGATATATACGTATATATATACATATATATATAGAGAGAGAGAGAGAGAGAGAGAGAGAGAGAGAGCATGTGGGAGGGGTGGGTTAGGTAGCCTAGCGCTGCTGGCCTCCTACCACACCCCCCCCTCCAGCCCCCCCTCAAAAAAAAAAAAAATCTTCTTCTTCTTCTTCTTCTTCTTCTTCTTCTTCTTTGTCTTCTTCTTCTTCTTCTCCTTTGAATTCTTCTTCTTTGACTTTGTCTTCTTCTTCTCCTCCTCCTCCTCCTCCTTTTCGTCCTTGCTTTTCCTATTGATTTTCCTCTCACGGCACGTTGCGCTTCAGTGTCTGCCACAACCAAAAAGACGAATTGGGTGTAAAGCTACCTCAAGCGCACGTGGCACAAGGGGCTGTCACTTTTTTTTTCTTGATTGATTTGTTTTCCTGTTATCAGCAACATTTTTGTCCCCCAACTACAGAAATATATAACTGACAAAAAAATAACAATCATATGTACAATAATTC